GAAATAATATTAGTAATATCAGATCAAAATTTATATCTCTAAAAACTTATTTTATCAAAATATGAAAAGATTATAGCAGTGACATTAGTTTTGAAGACTGGAAAAGCAACAAATTAGCAATCTTAAATGAAGTAGAAAAGAAGAATCCTTCAAATTAAAGGAGAAATAAAGAAACATGAAAATAAAAACTTTAGAACTAATGAGCAAAACTAGAAGCTATTTTTTAAAGACTAACAAAATTAATAAACAACCAACTTAAGCAAGAAAAAGAGAGGAATATCATATTACTAAGCTAAAACTTAAACAAGATGACTTCATAATTAAAATGGAGAAAATAAAACAAATAATTGTTGGAAATTATACATGATTATGCTTTTCCCTCTATACCATCTTTCTTGGTGATCTCATCAGTTCTAATGGCTCCAATTATTATTTCTATAATAATGACTCTAAATCCTGTATATCCATACCTCACTTCTCTCCTAACCATTAGTGTCCATCTCAATTACCTCAGTCTTTATGGCCCATAAACATCTTAAACTCAACATGCCCAAAATTGAACTCATTATTTTCTCTGACCTTCCCCCAGCCCTCCCCTCTTCCTAACTTTCCTATTACTATCCTATCATCCTGCAAACAGATTCACAATCTAAGTGACATTTGGACTCCTTACACACACATACACACACACACACACACACACACAGATAGAGACAGAGACAGAGAGAGATAGGAGGTGGGGCAGGAGAGAAAGTGTGTATGTTAGGGAAAGTGTATTGGAATGAAAATGTTCCAGTACCAGATGAACAGCAGTCCTGTCCCACATACAGGACACATGGAAAATTTGTGCTTTGTTCAGTGACTTGTAGCTATGGTTTCCTGATACTGTCTCCACAACACATGGTAGATAGAAAACCTGAAGCCAAGAAGTGTAGCTCTATTCTTCATAGGTAGTGGGCCAGAATTGTTAGTCAGCTGCTACTGTTTCACAGACATTAACAGTTACAGACTGTCTGAGCCATGTTTTGGTAAAAACGATACCTTCCTTTCATATACAATTTTATAGTTTTGAAAATTCTTTCATATATATGAGCTCATTTGATCTTCACAGGATAAGTTAAATTATCTCTTTGCCAAATTAAAAGCATTAAGAATAGTTTTTTTTTCTCTAAAGAAAACCAAACAAAATAAAAATAAATGGAGGTTCCAAACAGCTAAATATTCCATCTTTGGAAGATGACAGGGAGACTGTGCTGCCCAGATTGGCATGTGGTACATGAGCCGAGAGAAGACAAGGGGTTTCTTTGTTTGTTTATTTGTTAGTTATCATCAGAGATATATAATAAATATAGACAAATGGTCTTATTTATCTTTTGTTCCTATTCCATTTCATTTGCATGTCAATCAGATATGATTTGAGATTAATTGCTCTAAATGCTGCAAAGTTCCTGTGCTTTATTTTTCCTTTTACAGAGCCATTCCAAAATGGCTCAGAGGTGGAGCATAGAACCCCATATAGGAAATTAAGCAGCAATTTCAAGGAATTTCTAACTCTAGTCAGAGAGGTTCCAAGTGTGGGATTACAGGTTTATTATCAACATCAAACACAAACATTCAAAAGAATAGAAAACATATTAGTCTAGAGTATTCTGTCAAGTTTTTTTTTGGCTTCACTTTGCTAGATGAGGTTGCTCATAGCGTTTGCTGTATATTGAAAAGCTATCTGCCTCCCCTAGTTGAAAGGGAGGAGGAGAGAGAGGGAGGTTCTAATAATTGACACACAGAAGAGCTTGAAGAGCTGAAGCACATGGCAGAGAGAAGCTTAGCAACCATGAGATAGGTAGAGATGTGCAGCACAAAAGATGAGACCAGAAGACATGACACACTCAGGAAAGAACAAAGATGTGATACCCATTAAAGAACAAAACAAGGAAAAAATCAGAGACCATCAAAAGCCCTGTAGCATCACAGATTTTTATTTTTTGGCTAGGCAATAGGGTTAAGTGACTGGCCCAGGGTTATAGAGCTAGTAAATGTCAAGTGTCAGGAGGCCAGATTTGAACTCAGGTCTTCCTGACTCCAAGGCTGGCACTCTATCTGCTGCACCACCTAGCTACCCCAGCATCAAAGATTAGTCTACACACATCTTCTATATGTGTACCTTCTACATGTGTTCCACAGTAATGTGTTATTTTTAGCATATATCATAACACTTATGATTATTGGCCAAAGATGGAGCTTAGATGTGCCCTCCATGCATGCTCCCTATTAATGCATATTTTCTAAATGTGTCCCCTACCTAAGTGGTGGTGTGGTAAGCTATGGAAATATGTATGTATGTATGTATATGCATGTGTGTATACACACACACACACATAATATTGGGGAGGAGTGCCATTTTTTTCTTTTCACTATAATATTTGATATTTTGTGTCCTCCACATGGATAGCAAAAATTAAATACATTAGTAGGGGTTTCTGAGCTATGATTTTGAGTATGTCCTAATCCATATCCTTAAATCTGGAATAACTTTTTGTAGTGACACATGTGAGAAGGCTTAATAAGAGGGGGTGCTCCAGTTTACTATTTAGCTGATAAACATCACAGCCATAAATAGAATTCAAGTCTTTTAATGCATAACCCAATGCTCTTTTTACCCTTCCACATTTTGTCTGACATCTGTTCTCTGTGTCTATAATTACCCTACTTCTTTTTATGTGACAGCTGATTGGTTCCTCGCTGTTGTATATTCTTCATAGACGTCTTAATTCATGAAGCGAAGTACTAAGTGAGCACCACTTCCACTGGCTGCATTCTCAAACTTCATCATTATAGATATGAACATGTCATTTTTGTCTATTCTTTTGAGAGACTATGAAATAATAGTAGCTCAATTTATTTATCCAGTAATTTAAATGAGAACAAATGAGATAATATTTGTAAAGCACTTAGTACTGTGTCTGGAACATAGCAGGTGCTTAATAAGTGATGAAATTATGGTAGCTCACATTTACATAGTACTTTAATGGGATCAAATGATATAATGTTTGTAAAGCACTAGCAGAGTGTCTAGCATATAGTAGGCATGGTACTGTTTGAGTTAAAGATGGCTGCATGGTATTTTGAGCCATTATCTCATTTGTAAATTTCAGTGGTATCAGAATTTTGCTGACTATAACTGAAACAATGGGAGGATTTTATATGGACTCAGGATCATATCTGACAGAAAGGTGGATTTTTTTAGTATAACATCATAAGTTAGAGATGGTTCATTGCTTATAAGAAGGTCCTAATATGAAGCTTTAGGAGGGGTGGGAGAAGACTACATGAAGAAAGAAGCAGGGGGCCAGCTAGGTGGTGCAGTGGATAAAGCATTGGCCCTGCAGTCAGAAGGACCTGAGTTCAAGTCCGGCCTCAGACCAAACACTCAACACTTACTAGCTGTGTGACCTTGGGCAAGTCACTTAACCCCAATTGCCTAAAAACAAACAAAAAAACCAAACAAGCAAAAAAAAAAGAAGCAGGAGTAAAAGCAGAGACTATATATATAAAATATAATATATATACAGAGAGAGAGAGAGTTGAAGACAAAAGGCACAGGAGGCAAAAAAAGGAGTTACTTATAGAATGCAGAATACAAAACTGAGAGCATGTGATCAAAGCAGGTAGATTTTGCTGGGAGCTTTGATGATTGGAAAAGAAGTATTGCTTTGCTGAGAGCTGATGGTGTCACTGTGACTGATTTTGTCTAAATAGGAAACATACAGGTGGGGGCTTCCCAATGGTATCTTGTGAGAGTCTATCACTCCAACATTAAAATTACACCCAGTACCCTGGGAGAGGGAGTTTCAAGTAGTTTCAAATTTCAAATTGTCTCTTGACTGTTCTTCTTGTGACACATCACACTAACTTATTTAAGTGGTAAGAAGCCCTCTAGAAGATCTTTATGACTCTAAAACCAAGGATGGAGTATATTAGGAACAATATATTTCTTAGGGCCATGCTATGAAAGCTGGGTTAGCTTTTCCTAAGGCCCTATTGCATGTAGGTTCAGCTAGGTCTCTTCCTTAAGAAATATTGAAACTTTCCTTGAGACTTGATTCAATCAGTGAACTAGCTTAGGGTGTTGTTTTGGCTTCCTGGTCACCTAAGTTAAAAAGGCCGTATAAAAGGAGTTCCATCTTCTCTGAATTTTCTAAATTTCTTATTACTTTTTAATCATGGAAACTCCATTGGATCATCCTACATTTCCACCATCCGAATAACTCTTTGCATAGCTCCAGAATTGAAAACTACTCATTGATGAAATGGTGTGCACCACATATACTGAGCTGGAAGTAGCTTATCTGAAGCTTGAATTAGCATAGCTTCAGCAACCTTCTGAGACATAGATTTCTCTAGGGCTCAGATCAACATTATGACCAAAACCAGGCAGCTTTGCTCAACTGAACTAATTTGTTGTCCTCACTGAACATATTTATTTAATATTTTTTTATTTTATATGGCTAAATAAATATTTTAACTGCTGAATGATCCATGTGTCTTATTACGTTGCGTTATTAGCCTGAACTACCTATCAGGTATCTATGAGGTATTCAGGTACCTGAAATACCTATCAGGTATTTAGGTCTGAATTAGGCCCAGTCCATGACACCTGAGGTTCTGATATAGCTTTTGTTACCACTTGGGGCTTTCCATCTGCTTCAGAAGGCAGGAGTGAACTTCGAGGATAGAGTTTGAAAATTAAAAAAAAAAGAGACTATAACACAATGGAAGCTGAGATGTATTTGTCCCCTTCTCCCACCCTTCACTTCTCTTAGCATTAGATTTGGGACTGTTGGGGCGTTAATTTCTGCAGCATTTGAACAATTCATTTCAGGCTGGAATTGAAGGTACATTCCAGTTATGGACAGACCTTGGAGCAAAGTTATAGGATCCCAGAAGAGGAGAGATCCTAGGATCCTTGAGAAGTGATCCAGTGTTCCTCTTTGTCCACATACCTGAGATCATGAGAATTACCAAAGTTTCTACTATACTCTTTAAATCAATTCCCATTTAATTGTATATGTCCTTTTTCCATTTTGTGTAGACACAGGAGGAGTGCAAGATTAAGATGGAATTCCTCATCAGCTTTTTTGTTCCCATCATATGGCCAGGAAGACTGTACAATGGTGAAGCATACTCCAGCCTAAAAAAAGGGGGGGAGGTTGTCTTTAGGAACAGTGAAAACAAAGAATTAAGTGGAATGAATGGTTTATGTTACAAGTGATTAATGTTTGGAGTTTTACTCTGCTTTTTCTACAAATCTGTTTCAACTCTAAAAATTATGACTTTGAGTAAAGGCAGATAAATGAAGCAACTCAAAAGGAATGCAAAGGAAGGGGCATTGGCTAATAGGTAGAGGGCCAGCCAAAGATTGAATGAATCATCCTTCTAAATACAAATGCAAGGCAGAACAGCAAGATTGAAGAATGTTGTTTTGACAATTATATGTCCCAGGGTCCTGACTATGGACAGGATCCAAACTGCTACTGTTAGCATACTTGTCATACAGGGCAGCCAGATGCTAAGATACACCAGTGTCCTGTGTTCTCACACAAAGGTACGCTCATGAGAACAAGGGGAAGTCTCAGAATGTCTTGTGGCACAACATAGGCAGAGTGTTGTCACGGCACCTTTGTTAAATGTTGAGTCTTAAGGTCTCACTCTTCCTTTCCTTGCAGAAATCACAGTAAGCTTTGTTGCAGGAGGGTCAGCTCAGGGATGACAGCCCAGAAGCCAAGGCTAATTTTGCTTTTATAGGCTGGCAACAAGAAACCTCAGAAGGAAACAGGTCTGAGCTCTCTGAAAATATAATTACTGGCAAGAGGCATTGCCCTTTTCCTCCACAGATCAATTTTGTTCTGCCTTCTGTATTATGGTCCAGTAGCTTTCTCTGTACATTTTAAGGCACTACATAAATATTAGTAATGATTAATACTAATCTTGAAATTTGTTGTGGTTGCACAAGGCTATGTAGTAGCTCCTAGATGTGTTCCTCTTTCTCCTATCACTTAAAATGACCTTCTGAGGCCTTAGAACAGCCTGCTCCTCTCAGGAACAGGTAAGAATTCTGATTCTATATAAAATAATTGTGGATACAGAAATTCAATTTGAATCAGTGGAGGTTTCAAGAATAGAGGAATTTAATATTGGATTTTCCAAATGTCTTTTAGATACCACATAGGTTTTTCAATATGCTCAGCAAGGGGTCTGAAGTTTTATTGGAATGAATTTTTTTCCCCTTCAGTGAGCCATCATTTAGTTTCTTTACTCTCTGTTTTCACCTTTCCCAAACAGAAAGGAATGTCAATGTCAAACTCGTGTGTAATATTTAAGTTCCAGTGACAACTAGCCAGGTTATGTAATGGGAATTAAACTGAGACAGATATTCTCTTTTCCAACACATAAATGAATTCAAACTGGACTTTAATCCTGGAAGGTTATTTCATCTCCTAACTTACAATCTTATAAAGCTATTTATTTTAAAAATAATTTTGATATTTAATTTTACCTAAGAAGCCTACCAAATAGGCATAACTCACAAAATATCAATAATACCAACTTTAGATTTAGTAATAAATGCTAGTTCTATCATAAGAAAAAGAGCAAATGTGCACTGAACTAGCAAACAAAAAAACAAACAAAAAAACACACTAAAGTCTAATCACATCTTCATCACCAATTTAGCTGGATAACCTTAACCATTCTAATTTTCAGTTTCCTCATCTGGAAAATAATGAGTTTGGATTAATTTATCTCTAAAGTCCTTTTCTCCATTTTTTATTTTAGAATTGTTAACTGAAAAAGGATAATCAAGGGTATTAAAGAAAGGGAGGAAGAAATTTAGATGAGACACCAAGTTTCCAACCCTTACGGATTTTACAGTCTTAAGTAGCATGGTACCATTAAGCACATATAACTAAAATAATTAATATTACATGATAAGTACACTAAAAAAAAGTACAAAACAAAGTACTATGTGAAGTCTACGGGCACAAAACATTAGAGAGAGCAAGAACTCAGAGTAGGTGCCATGGAGAAAGTAGGAAAGTAAAAATGCAATGAAATTTCATTTGGGTTTTAAAGGAGACTCATTAGAACATTCTCAAGTTAAATAACTTGCTGAGAGAAATGAGTAAAACTGCCTAAGTACTCATCTTGATAGTCACTGCTATGGGCTATAAGTTCTTTAGAAAGACAGCCCAGAATTCTTCTCAGTCAGTCAACAGGCATTTTTTTCCTACCATACTTAGTGAATGCCAGAGATTTCACTTTTATTTTGCCCTTAGTCTTCTCTTTATTTTATATATAATCATGTTGTACTTGCTGTCTTTCCAGGAAGTGTATAAGCTCTTTGCAAGTAGAGTTTTCATTATTTTACTATGCCTGGCACAAAGCTGATAAATGCTTTGTGACTGATTAAGAAATAGATATTCTCAGTTTTATATGCAGTCCTCTTTCTTTTCTTATTTGCTTAGGGAAACTTTTTAAAAATATTTTTTAAAATATTTGAACAATTCATAATAACAAAGAAGAATTCAAGCCTTAAGGGCACATTGACTAGAATTAGCTAACTTCTCTTAAGCAAATTATTTGGTTTCTCTGGGCCTCAGTTTCTTCATCAGTAAAATTAATGGATTATTCTTTAAAGTCTCTTCCAGTTCAAAAATTTTATGATTCTACAATGCTTTTTGTATTATTGACTTGTTCATTGCATGACACCTAAGGGAAAAAAAATATTCCATGGGAAAATGCCATTCAATAATAAACAAAAAACAGACAGCCATTGTTTGAACAATTTTGTGCTGATGCTCAAAAGTATGAGTTAAACGGAGAAAAAAAATTCACTTGAAGTAGTGATATAGAGAAATTTAATTATATAAGCATAGAGACCTGTGTGTTTAACATTCATCTATTAGAGGCTTTTAAAGGCCAAATCTTAGTTTCTTAGGAGTAGCTAGAATTTTCTTTCAATCCAAATCATATTTAAATGCCATAAAAGTCAGATTACAAAATCCTTTGTGGTTTTGGTCAATTTTGTAGCACTTTTCTCACATATCAGGCACTAAAAACATTGAAGTAGATTTTCATACTCTTCAAGTAAAAGCAAGTTTGCATATGAACACAAGAATCTATCTCTATTTTGAAAAAATTGTCTCTAGTATGAACAACAAATGCCATTAAAATTCTTTTAAAAGTCAAAGTGAAAATGTGGGCCATTATTTATAGTACTTTATATGCCATTTTATTTCTTCAGTCTGTAGATACTAACATAGGTATGACTGCTTATATGCTTACAATGTATTTGCAAATATATGCAAAAATATAAATTGCAAAGCTACCAAATAGGAACTCTATATTTGTCTACCAGCGCATGTTTCATAGCAAAGTATGCTAATGCTATCTATATAATTTGATTTTTTTAAATTCTGATGTTTTCTATATTGATATCTATTTCAATATCTATTGATCTATTTGAATCTATTCAATCTATTTCAATCAATACATCTATTGATCTATTCAATATCTATTTCAACATCAATATCTATATTGATATCTATTTCAATATCTAGAAATAGATATCTAGATGTCTGAAGCAAATTATTTAGCTTCTCTGGGTCTCCGTTTCTATGTCAATAAAATTAAGAGATTGGCCTAGATATTCTCTAAAGTTATAAAATTTTGTGATTTTGTAATTCTATGATTTATGATCTAGACATCTAGATCTGTCTGTCTATCTATCTATCTATCTATCTATCTATCTATCTATCTATCTATCTATCTGTCTATCTACCTATCTATCTATCTACTTCTCTGTCTCTGTCACTCCATCTCTCTCTGTCTCTTTCTCTGTATCTCTATCTCTGCCTCTCTCTCATCTATGTTTTGTTTTAAAAAGCACCTTAAATACAATGTTTCATTTGAATAACTCCAAGAGCTAAGTAAGGCAGATTGTTTTAAAAATCTCCATTTTAGAGATACAGAAACCAAGATTCAATGAGGTATTATGGTGTCTAAGAAAGCAGCAGAACAAGAATCAGAAGACCTTGTTCAAATCCTGGCATTGACACTTACTGCCTATACGACCTCATAGAGGACAACTCATATCCCAGAGTCTCAGTTTCCTCAAATGAGATGGTTGCCTTAGATGACCCTTCAGATCTCTTCATACTGTAAATGTATGATTCTAATACATAGTGTCTAAGTATCAGAGAAAATATTTGGACCTGTAGTTTTCTTGACTTTCCATGTACAGCACTCGTTGCACTACTACACACTGCAGCACTTTAGTGCTAGATAAATACTAAATGTCACTTTAGTACTGGATAAATGTCACTGATGAGGATCTCTTCTTGTCAGAAAGCCACACTGTGAAATATCATGGACCTCATAATTAAAATCTCTTTAAATTCAACTTAATCATTGATGATTGGATGCCTGCTTTGTACATGGCCTAAAGAATAAAGTAGCATAGTCCCTGTGCTCAAGATTAAAATCTAGCAGCAATATACTAGATATGCCCATATGACTACAAAAAAGTTAAAAAGACAATCAGGAGTAGAGGAAGAGTCATATAGTAGAGAAAGGGCTGACCTTGGAGTCAAGAAAACCTGAAATCAGTTGCTGCTTTTCACATGTACTATGTTACCATAAGCAAATTACTGAACCATAGAGGGTGCCCCAGGGGAATTTTTTTTTTTGCCACTGTGACTGACCTATCACTTAAGATTTTTTTTTCAGTCAGAATGGTTCATTACATCACAGTCACTTAAGATGGCTTTGTAAGCTACAGATAACTCCACAAATTGGTAGAATGAGTTTTCATGCTATAGGAGATCCCTATAGTGATGATGGAATCAGTTCTGCCCTGCTACCCCCCTCCCATGCCTGTCTTCCCTTTAAAAAAGACTCCACAGGAAAAGCGTGTGGCAAAAGAGATTCCAGAAAGGAGAGATCACTTTTAACTGGGGTGAGAGAGCAGAGAAGGGAGGATCAGGAAAGAGCTCATGGCCTTTGAACTTGTTCTTGATGGAACAGAAGAATTTGAACAGCCTAACATCTTGGGAGAGATCATTTTGGAAATTATAAATAAATACTCAGAGTCAGGAAAGGGCAGGATGAGTTGTGATGGTATTATTCTCTAAT